TATATTGTTATATTGTTATATTTATTTTTACTCATTTAACTTCTGTTCTATATTAATTTCTTTAAATAGCTTTAACGAAAAAATTCATTTCATTATTCTATTTATTTTTTAATATTTTTTTTTTAAATGTCTCTTGCTTCTGTACCAAATTTTTCTTAACAACCTATCTCGATTAACTTTTTTATATCCCTTTTTTATTCCGTTTGCCAGCCCATCTCTTCTTAAGTGTTTTCTAATACTTATTGACTCGCTCAAATGTGTTTGTCTATTTATTCAAAGTTATCTATTTTTATCTGTCTTGACTTTTTTGAGCAAAACTTTACCAAACTGTCAAGTACTATTTGCATACTTTCATTTTCGGTTGCTTCGGCTGTCCTATAAGCTGCCTATAAACTCATAAGCCCCATTGCAGCTCTACGAAGCCGAAACTTTCATGCAACAGCAGCAGCAGCAGCAGCAATAAAAAGCAGCAGGAAAAAGAAATCTGTAAAAAACAACAATGCCAAGACAAATGATCCAATGGCTGTCTGACTGCACTTTAGCCATGCCACCCACTCATCAGAGCCCATATACCATGCACCTAGCTCCTAGCCCCAGACCGACTCTAAACGAAAAGAAAACAAAACAGAAATTGTATTATAGTCAAATATATTGGGTTATATACATGTATGTGTGTTCGTGTGTGTGTGTGTTTGTGTGTGTTCAACGGGGCAAAGCTGTCTCAATTTTTGGGTTAGCGCACATTTCTGCATGTAAACTTGGCGGATTTTTCATCTCATTCTTACGAAAATTTCGTTTTTCTTATACCCTATTAAAATACTTTTGATTGGGATACAAGGAAAGTGAGCAAGATTTGAGAATCTTTATTAAATTTTATGTTTATTTTAATTAATTTATGTATTAACTAGAGACTTAATATTTTATTAGGGTAAGCGATACTATATAAATAATTTCTCTTCTATTTCGTCCGATTATCATAACGATCCTGCCGAATGGCTTAACTAGCCATCTCGTTCTCACTCAGCAAGGCCTCGGACACAAAGCAACAGCTCACTCTCTCTCTCTCTCTCTCTCTCTCACTCACTCTCTCTCTCTCTCTCTCTCTCTCCCTTTCTCTCTCATTAAGGGTATTTTAGGATATTAGCTTAACAATTCTCTACAGGCTCTCAGTTTTACACTAATATTTCTGTCATAATAGGGACTAAGTATTTAACAGAATAGGGAAACTTGGATAACCTCTTCTATTCACTTCAATATATCAGCTCACAATATTATATCGATACGATATATCTTTTAATATTTTCTGCTTATTTATATTCTTAAAAATTATAAAACCCAATCATTATATTTACAATTTTTAAAAATCAACATTTTTAATTTCCCCTGTGCACTTAAAATCATATATGCTCTCCATGCTTCAATAATTGCAAATCATCAAACTTTTTAGACATACAGATATTTAATATATAACTTTACATTACACTAAAAGATCAAATATTGAATCCATTGCCGATACATCTCACTTAAATTTTTTTAAATTTCTTGAAATTGTTTATGAATATAAACTTGAAAATATTCGATGTGGAATGAATAAATATATTTTAAACTATTTTTCACACTTCTTTAATCGCAATTAACTAGTTCAATAGATTACATAAAATTTGATATTTAGTATTATTTATTATTATTATTTTTTTTTACAGAGTATAGAGGCTATTAGCTGAGATATTTATAATTTATTAATTAAAGATTTTTTTTTTATTTCAACATTTTTTTTTTATAGTGAAATTTGGAGATAAAATCACTTTGTTACTAACTTATTTAATAGATTTAGTTTATATATAGTTGTATTCAGCTACAGGGCATCACTGCAGCTCATCATGCTCGCTTTTATCATATTTTAGTTGTAGTTTTTTTCTTGTGACTTGTCCATGTCAAAGCTGCTGCTGCTTTTACTGACGATGATGATGACAAAGGGCAAGGCAAACGAGTGGCATAGAACTGGGTCAAGACTTGATTGTTTATCTTGGGACAAGGGCCAGTGTGAGCTGGAGAAAAGGAGAAAAGGATTCATGGCTACCATTCACACTTAGCCAGCGTCCAGTGTTCCAGGGGCCCGTCGAAACGAGTAGGATAT